AAAGAACAAGAGTCTAGCATGTGCAAAATTGCAAGAACAAGGGCCTAGCGTGTGCAAAATAAAAAGAACAAGGGCATAGCGTGTGCAAAATAAAAAGAACAAGGGCCTAGCGTGTGCAAAATTGCAAGAACAAGGGCCTAGCGTGTGCAAAATTGCAACAACAAGGGCCTAGCGAGTGCAAAATAGCAAGAGCAAGGGCCTAGCGTGTGCAAAAAATAAAGAACAAGGGCCTAGCGTTCGCGAAGTTGCAAGAGCAAGGGCCTAGCGTGTGCAAAATAAAAAGAACAAGGATCTAGCATGTGCAAAATTGCAAGAACAAGGGCCTAGCGTGTGCAAAATTGCAAAAACAAGGGCATAGCGTGTGCAAAATAGCAAGAACAAGGGCCTAGCGTGTGCAAAAAAAAAAAAAACAAGGGCCTAGCGTGTGCAAAATAAAAAGAACAAGGGCCTAGCGTGTGCAAAATTGCAAAAACAAGGGCCTAGCGTGTGCAAAATTGCAACAACAAGGGCCTAGCGAGTGCAAGATAGCAAGAGCAAGGGCCTAGCGTGTGCAAAAAATAAAGAACAAGGGCCTAGCGTGTGCGAAATAAAAAGAACAAGGGCATAGCGTGTGCAAAATAAAAAGAAGAAGGGCCTAGCGTGTGCAAAATTGCAAAAACAAGGGCCTAGCGTGTGCAAAATTGCAACAACAAGGGCCTAGCGAGTGCAAAATAGCAAGAGCAAGGGCCTAGCGTGTGCAAAAAATCAAGAACAAGGGCCTAGCGTGTGCAAAATAAAATGAACAAGGGTGTAGCATCTGCAAAATTGCAAGAACAAGGGCCTAGCGTGTGCAAAATAAAAAGAACAAGGGCATAGCGTGTGCAAAATAGCAAGAACAAGGGCCTAGCGTGTGCAAAATAAAAAGAACAAGGGCCTAGCGTGTGCAAAATAAAAAGAACAAGGGCCTAACGTGTGCAAAATTGAAAGAACAAGGGCCTAGCGTGTGCAAAATTGCAAGAACAAGGGCCTAGCGAGTGCAAAATAGCAAGAGCAAGGGCCTAGCGTGTGCAAAAAATCAAGAACAAGGGCCTAGCGTTCGCGAAATAGCAAGAGCAAGGGCCTAGTGTGTGCAAAATAAAAAGAACAAGAGTCTAGCATGTGCAAAATTGCAAGAACAAGGGCCTAGCGTGTGCAAAATAAAAAGAACAAGGGCATAGCGTGTGCAAAATAAAAAGAACAAGGGCCTAGCGTGTGCAAAATTGCAAGAACAAGGGCCTAGCGTGTGCAAAATTGCAACAACAAGGGCCTAGCGAGTGCAAAATAGCAAGAGCAAGGGCCTAGCGTGTGCAAAAAATAAAGAACAAGGGCCTAGCGTTCGCGAAGTTGCAAGAGCAAGGGCCTAGCGTGTGCAAAATAAAAAGAACAAGGATCTAGCATGTGCAAAATTGCAAGAACAAGGGCCTAGCGTGTGCAAAATTGCAAAAACAAGGGCATAGCGTGTGCAAAATAGCAAGAACAAGGGCCTAGCGTGTGCAAAAAAAAAAAAAACAAGGGCCTAGCGTGTGCAAAATAAAAAGAACAAGGGCCTAGCGTGTGCAAAATTGCAAAAACAAGGGCCTAGCGTGTGCAAAATTGCAACAACAAGGGCCTAGCGAGTGCAAGATAGCAAGAGCAAGGGCCTAGCGTGTGCAAAAAATAAAGAACAAGGGCCTAGCGTTCGCGAAGTAGCAAGAGCAAGGGCCTAGCGTGTGCAAAATAAAAAGAACAAGGATCTAGCATGTGCAAAATTGCAAGAACAAGGGCCTAGCGTGTGCAAAATAAAAAAAACAAGGGCATAGCGTGTGCAAAATAGCAACAACAAGGGCCTAGCGTGTGCAAAATAAAAAGAACAAGGGCCTAGCGTGTGCAAAATAAAAAGAACAAGGGCCTAGCGTGTGCAAAATTGCAAGGACAAGGGCCTAGCGTGTGCAAAATTGCAAGAACAAGGGCCTAGCGAGTGCAAAATAGCAAGAGCAAGGGCCTAGCGTGTGCAAAAAATCAAGAACAAGGGCCTAGCGTTCGGGAAATAGCAAGAACAAGGGCCTAGCGTGTGCAAAGTAAAAAGAACAAGGGTCTAGCATGTGCAAAATTGCAAGAACAAGGGCCTAGCGTGTGCAAAATTAAAAGAACAAGGACATAGCGTGTGCAAAATAGCAAGAACAAGGGCCTAGCATGTGCAAAATTGCAAGAACAAGGGCCTAGCGTGTGCAAAAAAAAAAAGAACAAGGGCCTAGCGTGTGCAAAATAGAAAGAACAAGAGCATAGCGTGTGCAAAATAAAAAGAACAAGGGCATAGCGAGTGCAAAATAGCAAGAGCAGGGGCCTAGCGTGTGCAAAAAATCAAGAACAAGGGCCTAGCATTCGCAAAATAGCAAGAACAAGGGCCTAGTGTGTGCAAAATAAAAAGAACAAGGGTCTAGCATGTGCAAAATTGCAAGAACAAGGGCATAGCGTGTGCAAAATAAAAAGAACAAGGGCCTAGCGTGTGCAAAATTGCAAGAACAAGGGCCTAGCGTGTGCAAAATTGCACGAACAAGGGCCTAGCGAGTTCAAAATAGCAAGAGCAAGGGCCTAGCATGTGCAAAATAAAAAGAACAAGGGCATAACGTGTGCAAAATAGCAAGAACAAGGGCCTAGCGTGTGCAAAATAAAAAGAACAAGGGCCTAGCGTGTGCAAAATAAAAAGAACAAGGGCATAGCGTATGCAAAATTGCAAGAACAAGGGCCTAGCGTGTGCAAAATTGCAAGAACAAGGGCCTAGCGAGTGCAAAATAGCAAGAGCAAGGGCCTAGCGTGTGCAAAAAATCAAGAACAAGGGCCTAGCGTTCGCGAAATAGCAAGAGCAAGGGCCTAGTGTGTGCAAAATAAATAGAACAAGGGTCTAGCAAGTTCAAAATTGCAAGAACAAGGGCCTAGCATCTGCAAAATAAAAAGAACTAGGGCATAACGTGTGCAAAATAGCAAGAACAAGGGCCTAGCGTGTGCAAAATGAAAAGAACAAGGGCCTAGCGTGTGCAAAATTGCAAGAACAAGGGCCTAGCGAGTGCAAAATAGCAAGAGCAAGGGCCTAGCGTGTGCAAAAAATCAAGAACAAGGGCCTAGCGTGTGCAAAATAAAATGAACAAGGGTGTAGCATCTGCAAAATTGCAAGAACAAGGGCCTAGCATGTGCAAAAAAAAAAGAACAAGTGCATAGCGTGTGCAAAATAGCAAGAACAAGGGCCTAGCGTGTGCAAAATAAAAAGAACAAGGGCCTAGCGTGTGCAAAATAAAAAGAACAAGGGCCTAACGTGTGCAAAATTGAAAGAACAAGGGCCTAGCGTGTGCAAAATTGCAAGAACAAGGGCCTAGCGAGTGCAAAATAGCAAGAGCAAGGGCCTAGCGTGTGCAAAAAATCAAGAACAAGGGCCTAGCGTTCGCGAAATAGCAAGAGCAAGGGCCTAGTGTGTGCAAAATAAAAAGAACAAGGGTCTAGCATGTGCAAAATTGCAAGAACAAGGGCCTAGCGTGTGCAAAATAAAAAGAACAAGGGCATAGCGTGTGCAAAATAAAAAGAACAAGGGCCTAGCGTGTGCAAAATTGCAAAAACAAGAGCCTAGCGTGTGCAAAATTGCAACAACAAGGGCCTAGCGAGTGCAAAATAGCAAGAGCAAGGGCCTAGCGTGTGCAAAATATAAAGAACAAGGGCCTAGCGTTCGCGAAGTAGCAAGAGCAAGGGCCTAGCGTGTGCAAAATAAAAAGAACAAGGATGTAGCATGTGCAAAATTGCAAGAACAAGGGCCTAGCGTGTGCAAAATAAAAAAAACAAGGGCATAGCGTGTGCAAAATAGCAAGAACAAGGGCCTAGCGTGTGCAAAAAAAAAAAGAACAAGGGCCTAGCGTGTGCAAAATAAAAAGAACAAGGGCCTAGCGTGTGCAAAATTGCAAAAACAAGGGCCTAGCGTGTGCAAAATTGCAACAACAAGGACCTAGCGAGTGCAAGATAGCAAGAGCAAGGGCCTAGCGTGTGCAAAAAATAAAGAACAAGGGCCTAGCGTTCGCGAAGTAGCAAGAGCAAGGGCCTAGCGTGTGCAAAATAAAAAGAACAAGGATGTAGCATGTGCAAAATTGCAAGAACAAGGGCCTAGCGTGTGCAAAATAAAAAAAACAAGGGCATAGTGTGTGCAAAATAGCAAGAACAAGGGCCTAGCGTGTGCAAAATAAAAAAAAACAAGGGCCTAGCGTGTGCAAAATAAAAAAGAACAAGGGCCTAGCGTGTGCAAAATTGCAAGGACAAGAGCCTAGCGTGTGCAAAATTGCAAGAACAAGGGCCTAGCGAGTGCAAACTAGCAAGAGCAAGGGCCTAGCATGTGCTAAAAATCAATAACAAGGGCCTAGCGTTCGCGAAATAGCAAGAACAAGGGCCTAGCGTGTGCAAAGTAAAAAGAACAAAGGTCTAGCATGTGCAAAATTGCAAGAACAATGGCCTAGCGTGTGCAAAATCAAAAGAACAAGGGCATAGTGTGTGCAAAATAGCAAGAACAAGGGCCTAGCATGTGCAAAATTGCAAGAACAAGGGCCTAGCGTGTGCAAAATAAAAAGAACAAGGGCCTAGCGTGTGCAAAATAGAAAGAACAAAAGCATAGCGTGTGCAAAATAAAAAGAACAAGGGCATAGCGAGTGCAAAATAGCAAGAGCAAGGGCCTAGCGTGTGCAAAAAATCAAGAACAAGGGCCTAGCGTTCGCGAAATAGCAAGAACAAGGGCCTAGTGTGTGCAAAAAAAAAAGAACAAGGGCCTAGCGTGTGCAAAATTGCAAGAACAAGGGCCTAGCGTGTGCAAAATTGCAAGAACAAGGGCCTAGCGTGTGCAAAATTGCAAGAACAAGGGCCTAGCGTGTGCAATATTGCACGAACAATGCCCTAGTTCTTGCTATTTTGCACACGCTATGCCCTTGTTCTTTTGATTTTGCACACGCTAGGCCCTTGTTCTTGCAATTTTGCACATGCTAGACCCTTGTTCTTTTTACTTTGCACACGCTAGGCCCTTGTTCTTGCTATTTCGCGAACGCTAGGCCCTTGTTCTTGATTTTTTGCACATGCTAGGCCCTTGCTCTTGCTATTTTGCACTCGCTAGGCCCTTGTTCTTGCAATTTTGCACACGCTAGGCTCTTGTCCTTGCAATTTTGCACACGCTAGGCCCTTGTTCTTTTTATTTTGCACACGCTAGGCCCTTGTTTTTTTTTATTTTGCACACGCTAGGCCCTTGTTCTTTTTATTCCATCACCCCGCTCCATTCTCCCGCTTTCCATCACCCCGCGCCATTCTCCCGCTTCCCATAACCCCACCCCATTCTCCCGCTTTCCATCACCCCGCCACATTTTCCCACTTTCCATCACCCCGCCCCCTTCTCTCTCCTTCCATCACCCCGCCCCATTCTCCCTCCTTCCATCACCCCGCCCCATTCTCCCGCTTTCCATCAGCCCGCCCCATTCTCCAGCTTTCCATCACCCCGCCCCTTTCTCCCGCTTTCCATCTCCCCGCCCCATTCTCCCGCTTTCCATCAGACCGCCCCATTCTCCCGCTTTCCATCACCCCGCCCCATTCTTCCGCTTCCCATCATCCCGCCCCATTCCCCCGCTTTCCATCACCCCTCCCCATTCTCCCTCCTTCCATCACCCCGCCCCTTTCTCCCGCTTTCCATCTGCCGCCCCATTCTCCCGCTTTCCATCACCCGCCCCATTCTCCCGCTTTCCATCACCTCGCCCCATTCTCCCGCTTTCCATCACCCCGCCCCATTCTTCTGCTTTCCATCACCCCGCCCCATTCTCCCGCTTTCCATCACCCTGCCCCATTCACCCGTTTTCCATCACCCGCCCCATTCTCCCGCTTTCCATCATACCACCCCATTCTCCCGCTTTCCATCACCCCGCCCCATTCTCCCGCTTTTCATCACCCCGCCCCATTCTCCCGCTTTCCAACACCCCGGCCCATTCTCTCGCTTTCCATCACCCCGCCCCCTTCTTCCTCTTTCCATCACCCCGCCCCATTCTCCCTCCTTCCTTCACCCCGCCCCATTCTCCCGCTTTCCATCACCCTGCCCCATTCCTCCGCTTTCCATCACCCCGCACCATTCTCCCACTGTCCATCACCCCGCCCCATTCTCCCGCTTTCCATCACCCTGCCCCATTCTCCCGCTTTCCATCACCCTGCGCCATTCTTCCGCTTTCCATCACCCCGCCCCCTTCTCCCTCCTTCCATCACCCCGCCCCATTCTCCCTCCTTCCATCACCCCGCCCCATTCTCCCGCTTTCCATCAGCCCGCCCCATTCTCCCGCTTTCCATCACCCCGCCCCTTTCTCCCGCTTTCCATCTCCCTGCCCCATTCTCCCGCTTTCCATCACCCTGCCCCATTCTCCCGCTTTCCATCACCCCGCCCCATTCTTCGCTTCCCATCATCCCGCCCCATTCCCCCGCTTTCCATCACCCCTCCCCATTCTCCCTCCTTCCATCACCCCGCCCCATTCTCCCGCTTTCCATTACACGCCCCATTCTCCCGCTTTCCATCACCCCGCCCCATTCTCCTGCTTTCCATCACCCAGCCCCATTCACCTGCTTTCCATCACCCGCCCCATTCTCCCGCTTTCCATCACCCCGCCCCATTCTCCCACTTTCCATCACCCCGCCCCATTCTCACGCTTTTCATCACCCCGCCCCATTCTCCCGCTTTCCAACACCCCGCCCCATTCTCCCGCTTTCCATCACCCCGCCCCACTCTCCCGCTTTCCATCACCCCGCCCCATTCTCCCTCCTTCCATCACCCCGCCTCATTCTCCCTGCTTCCATCACCCCGCCCCATTCTCCCGCTTTCCATCACCCCGCCCCATTCTCCCGCTTTCCATCTCCAGGACCACGCAAGCTCTAAGAGCAGGTAAGCTCTTGGACCAGGCAAGCTCTTGGACCAGGCAATCTCCTAGACCAGGCAAGCTCGTGGACCACGCACGCTCCTGGACCAGGCAAGCTCCTAGACCAGGAAAGCTCCTGGACCTGGCAAGCTCCTAGACCAGGCAAGCTCCTGGACCAGGCAAGCTCCTAGACCAGGCAAGCTCCCGGACCAGGCAAGCTCCTGGACCAGGCAAGCTCATGGACCAGGCAAGCTCCTGGACCAGGCAAGCTCCTGGACCATGCAAGCTCGGGAACTTGGCATGCTCGTGCACGAGGCAAGCTCGTGGACCAGGCACGCTCCTGGACCATGCAAGCTCCTAGACCACGCAAGCTCTTGGACCAGGCACGCTCATGGACCATGCAAGCTCTTGGACCACGCACGCTCCTGGACAAAGCAAGCTCTTGGACCAGGCTAGCTCGTGGACCACGCACGCTATTGGACCAGGCACGCTCCTCGACCAGTCAAGCTCTTGGACTAGGCAGGCTTCTGAGCCAAGCAAGCTCCTGGACCAAGCAAGCTCCTGGACCATGCACGCTCCTGGACCAGGCAAGCTCCTGGACCAGACAAGCTCCTCGACCAGGCAAGCTCCTGGACCAGGCAAGCTCTTGGACCAGGCAAGCTCCTGGGCCAGGCACGCTCGCGGACGAGGCACGCTCTTGGACCAGGCAAGCTCTTGGACCAGGCAAGCTCGTGGACCAGGCACGCTCCTTGACCAGGCAAGCTCCTGGACAAGGCAAGCTCCTGGACCAGGCAAGCTCCTGGACCAGGCACGCTCCTGGACCAGGCAAGCTCCTGGACCAGGCAAGCTCTTGGACGAGGAAATCTCGTGGACCAGGCAAGCTCTTGGACCAGGCAAGCTTCTGGACCAAGCAAGCTCCTGGACTAGGCGAGCTCTTGGACTAGGCAAGCTCTTGGACCAGGCAAGCTTAAGAACCAAGCAAGCTCCTGGACCAGGAAAGCTCCTAGACCAGGCATGCTCCTGGACCAGGTAAGCTCTTGAACCTGGAAAGCTCCTAGACGAGGCAAGCTCCTAGAACAGGCCAGCTTCTAGACCAGGCAAGCTCTTGGAGAAGGCACGCTCCTGGACCAGGCAAGCTCTTGGACCAGGCAAGCTCCGAGACCAGGCAAGCTTCTGGAACATGCAAGCTCGTAGACCATGCAAGCTCCTGGACCAGGCAAGCTCTTGGACCACGCATGCTCCTAGACCAAGCAAGCTCCTGGACCAGGCAAGCTCCGGGACCAAGCACGCTCTTGGACATAGCAAGCTCTTGGACCAGGCACGCTCCTGGAATGGGCAAGCTCCTGGACCAGGCAAGCTCTTAGACCAGGCAAGCTCTTTGACCAGGCAGGCTCGTGGACCAGGCACGCTCCTGGACCAGGTAAGCTCCTGGACGAGGCAAGCTCATGGACCAGGCAAGCTCCTGGACCAGGTAAGCTCCTGGACCAGGCAAGCTCCTAGACCACGCAAGCTCCTGGACCAGGCAAGCTCCTGGGCCAGGCACGCTCGCAGACTAGGCACGCTCTTGGACTAGGCAAGCTCTTGGACCAGGCAAGCTCGTGGACTAGGCACGCTCCTGGACCAGGCAAGCTCCTGGACAAGGCAAGCTCCAGGACCAGGCAAGCTCCTGGACCAGGCAAGCTCTTGGACGAGGAAATCTCGTGGACCAGGCAAGCTCTTGGACCAGGCAAGCTCCTGGACCAAGCAAGCTCCTGGACTAGGCGATCTCTTGGACTAGGCAAGCTCTTGGACCAGGCAAGCTCAAGGACCAAGCAAGCTCCTGGACCACGAAAGCTCCTGGACCAGGCATGCTCCTGGACCAGGTAAGCTCTTGAACCTGGAGAGCTCCTGGACGAGGCAAGCTCCTAGAACAGGCAAGCTTCTAGACCAGGCAAGCTCTTGGAGCAGGCACGCTCCTGGACCAGGCAAGCTCTTGGACCAGGCAAGCTCCTGGACCAGGCAAGCTTCTGGAACATGCAAGCTCGTGGACCATGCAAGCTCCTGGACCAGGCAAGCTCTTGGACGACGCATGCTCCTAGACCAGGCAAGCTCCTGGACCATGCAAGCTCGTGGACCAGGCATGCTCGTGCACGAGGCAAGCTCGTGGACCAGGCACGCTCCTGGACCACGCAAGCTCCTGGACCACGCAAGCTCTTGGACCAGGCACGCTCATGGACCAGGCAAGCTCTTGGACCACGCACGCTCCTGGACAAAGCAAGCTCCTGGACCAGGCTAGCTCGTGGACCACGCACGCTATTGGACCAGGCACGCTCCTCGACCAGTGAAGCTCTTGGACTAGGCAGGCTTCTGGGCCAAGCAAGCTCCTGGACCAAGCAAGCTCCTGGACCATGCACGCTCCTGGACCAAGCAAGCTCCTGGACCAGACAAGCTCCTCGACCAGGCAAGCTCCTGGACCAGGCAAGCTCTTGGACCAGGCAAGCTCCTGGGCCAGGCACGCTCACGGATGAGGCACGCTCTTGGACAAGGCAAGCTCGTGGACCAGGCACGCTCCTGGACCAGGCAAGCTCCTGGACAAGGCAAGCTCCTGGACCAGGCAAGCTCCTGGACCAGGCACGCTCCTGGACCAGGCAAGCTCCTGGACCAGGCAAGCTCTTGGACGAGGAAATCTCGTGGACCAGGCAAGCTCTTAGACCAGGCAAGCTCCTGGACCAAGCAAGCTCCTTGACTAGGCAAGCTCTTGGACTAGGCAAGCTCTTGGACCAGGCAAGCTCAAGGACCAAGCAAGCTCCTGGACCAGGAAAGCTCCTGGACCTGGCATGCTTCTAGACCAGGTAAGCTCTTGAACCTGGAAAGCTCCTGGACCAGGCAAGCTCCTAGAACAGGCAAGCTTCTAGACCAGGCAAGCTCTTGGAGCAGGCACGCTCCTGGACCAGGCAAGCTCTTGGACCAGGCAAGCTCCAGGACTAGGCAAGCTTCTGGAACATGCAAGCTCGTGGACCATGCAAGCTCCTGGACTAGGCAAGCTCTTGGACCACGCATGCTCCTAGACCAGGCAAGCTCATGGACTAGGCAAGCTCCGGGACCAAGCACGCTCTTGGACATAGCAAGCTCTTGGACCAGGCACGCTCCTGGAACGGGCAAGCTCCTGGACCAGGCAAGCTCTTAGACCAGGCAAGCTCTTGGACCAGGCAGGCTCGTGGACCAGGCACGCTCCTGGACCAGGTAAGCTCCTGGACGAGGCAAGCTTATGGACCAGGCAAGCTCCTGGACCAGGTAAGCTCCTGGACCAGGCAAGCTCCTGGACCAGGCAAGCTCCTCGACCAGGCAAGCTCCTGGGCCAGGCACGCTCGCGGACCAGGCACGCTCTTGGACCAGGCAAGCTCTTGGACCAGGCAAGCTCGTGGACCAGGCACGCTCCTGGACCAGGCAAGCTCATGGACAAGGCAAGCTCTTGGACCAGGCAAGCTCCTTGACCAGGCACGCTCCTGGACCAGGCAAGCTCCTGGACCAGGCAAGCTCTTGGACGAGGAAATCTCGTGGACCAGGCAAGCTCTTGGACCAGGCAAGCTCCTGGACCAAACAAGCTCCTGGACTAGGCGATCTCTTGGACTAGGCAAGCTCTTGGACCAGGCAAGCTCAAGGACCAAGCAAGCTCCTGGACAAGGAAAGCTCCTGGACCAGGCATGCTCCTGGACAAGGTAAGCTCTTGAACCTGGAAAGCTCCTGGACGAGGCAAGCTCCTAGAACAGGCAAGCTTCTAGACCAGGCAAGCTCTTGGAGCAGGCACGCTCCTGGACCAGGCAAGCTCTTGGACCAGGCAAGCTCCTGGACCAGGCAAGCTTCAAGAACATGCAAGCTCGTGGACCATGCAAGCTCCTGGACTAGGCAAGCTCTTGGAAAACGCATGCTCCTAGACCAGGCAAGCTCGTGGACCAGGCAAGCTCCGGGACCAAGCACGCTCTTGGACATAGCAAGCTCTTGGACCAGGCACGCTCCTGGAACGGGCAAGCTCCTGGACCAAGCAAGCTCCTGGACCAGGCAAGCTCTTGGACCAGGCAGGCTCGTGGACCAGGCACGCTCCTGGACCAGGTAAGCTCCTGGACCAGGCAAGCTCCTGGACCAGGCAAGCTCCTGGACCAGGCAAGCTCCTGGACCAGGCACGCTCCTGGACCAGGCACGCTCCTGGACCAGGCAAGCTCCTGGACCAGGCAAGCTCCTGGACCTGGCACGCTCCTGGACCAGGCAAGCTCCTGGACTAGGCAAGCTCCTGGACTAGGCAAGCTCCTAGACCAGGCAAACTCGTGGACCAGGCACGCACCTGGACCAGGCAAGATCCTGGATCAGGCAAGCTCCTATAGCAGGCACGCTCCTGGACCATGCAAGCTTTTGGACGAGGCAAGCTCCAGGACCACGCAAGCTCTTGGACCAGGTAAGCTTTTAGACCAGGCAAGCTCTTGGACCAGGCAAGCTCCTAGACCAGGCAAGCTCGTGGACCACGCACGCTCCTGGACCAGGCAAGTTCCTGGACCAGGCAAGCTCCTGGATCAGGCAAGCTCCTAGACCAGGCAAGCTCCTGGACCAGGCAAGCTCCTGGACCAGGCAAGCTCATGGACCAGGCAAGCTTCTGGACCAGGTAAGATCCTGGACCAGGCAAGCTCTTGGACCAGGCAAGCTCCTGGACCAGGCAAGCTCCTGGACCAGGCAAGCTCCTGGACCAGGCAAGCTCATGGACCAGGCAAGCTCCTGGACTAGGCAAGCTCCTGGATCGGGCAAGCTCCTGGACCACGCAAGCTCGTGGACCAGGCACGCTCGTGCACCAGGCAAGCTTGTGGACCAGGCAAGCTCCTGGACCACGCAAGCTCGTGAACTAGGCAAGCTTCTGGACCACGCAAGCTCTTGGACCAGGCACGCTCATGGACCAGGCAAGCTCTTGGACCACGCAAGCTCCTGGACTAGGCACGCTCCTCGACCAGTCAAGCTCTTGAACCAGGCAGGCTTCTGGACCAAGCAAGCTCTTGGACCAGCCAAGTTCGTGGACCACGCAAGCTTTTGGACCAGGCACGCTTCTTGACCAAGCAAGCTCCTGGACCAGGCTAGCTCGTGGACCACGCAAGCTCTTGGACCAGACATGCTCCTCGACCAGTCAAGCTCTTGGAC